GTCGGTTGGTTTATCTATCGAGATGACTATGGGTAGGTGGTCTGATGCTAAAGTCAGCATAGGTCGCCATGTTATGCTGTTTATCAGACCAGCGCTGACTATGGTGATGTCTGGCGAGCTACTGCAGTTACCCATAATCCTGGTGGGTGCGTCGTCGTTCATTGTGCAGAATGTCGAATCGTCTATCTGCTCAGCCAAGTCTGTTCCCCTACGATCGTTTGACAGGCTTGAGTGCCAAAGATCGTGGTGCGCATTAAAGTCACCTACTACCATACGGTTTTCACCTCTGAGGAGCGCACCTATATCAGGGTGATATCCTGCAGGGCAGCAGGTGGCAGGGGGTATGTATATGTTAAATATTTCGAGCTCAACATCGCCTGACCGGATAGCGGTGCCCTGACATTCTAGGGTGGTATCCCTGCGGTCGATGTCTGCTTCGATTAGACGATACTGCACGGTGTGGTGCGTGATGAACGCTAAGCCACCACCATTATCTCGCTCGCGATCTCGACGGTGCACGTTGTACCCGGCGAAATTCAACAAAGTTGAATTGCTGTGCAACTTCGTCTCTTGGACCGCAGCTGTCAATATACCATGCCGACACATGAAGACGGTTATCTCCTCAATCTTGCTCTGTAGCCCGTTGCAGTTAAATTGAAGGAGCTTCATGTGGTTCGGGAGACGTGTCGTAATGTGGGGTGTAAGTGATGTGTGTGTATTTTCAACCTCTTGAAGCTTGCTATTTATCATACTAAAATTGCATAACCTAAAAAAAGTTTTGATGAAAATTTGTTGAATTTTCCGAAATTTTGTATAAACTTTGAAGCTTTAATTGATATGGCTTTAGTGATGCAGACTGCAATCTGGTAGTATGTTTTGGTAAAAATACAACCTCTGTCGCATCCAACCAGTTCGAATGCTTGCTTTTCACATTTCTTTTACCCTAAGTGCCTCTTTCCAAAACCGTCGAAGCCTTTTACATATTTATGTGGCGCGCGAATCGATATCACTAGTATTTACATTTTCTAAATCTTCCACTTCTGTACCACTCAGGAGGTATCAGAACTCAAACACTTCATTCTTTAAAAAGGAACAGATAGATGTATGAATTACCTGTTAGTTAAAAAAAAAAGTGATTAACATTTTTAGTGAAAATGAATTCCTCATTTTAACTATCACTGAATAGTGCAATTCAGTGGTAGTGCAAAAATGCTCAACGCAGAATACACGTTATCAATATTAGTTAATTAATTAATTCATCTTTCATATTGTATTGTCATCAGGTTCTGAGCTTAGTTTGCAGTTGCTAGTCTCTACCTCATCGGGAGGGTGGTTAAAATGGATTTCAAGATTTGATTACACAGGTGAAAGTAAATAAAAGCTTGTAAAAAAATATATTTAGCTACAGGTTCGGCATGTAGCGGGCGTGTATCAAATAACCGTGCAAAAATGTTCAGCTAAAATATATATTATTGTAATCTACAGGAAATGGGCTTAATTAAAAAACAAATTAAGTGTGGCACTGAGTGACAGGTGTTTAAAAGTTCATCATTGGAACGTGAAAAAATTAACGGTACTCCAAAATTTTGTATATGACAATTGAAGTCGGTTATGTTTTTTGCAGACATTTGATTGGTAATCTTAGGTTAAACCAGCCAGCTGGAGCGTTTGAACTAAGTTTAAACCATAGCCGTGCATTAAAAAACTGGCCCTTAGAATGGCGTTATTTATTTGTTCAGTGATTTATTTTTAGTGTTAATTGTAATCCTTGTTATTGTTTATAATATTGTTATTTCTATGCATGAATGACATGTGCAGTAAATATAAATAATGATATTTATACCTTTCATGAGCATGAAATGGTATTATAACTTTGGTCCGATGTTTGTAAGTACCAGAATAAGAAGAGACAGAACCATTAAAATGCTTACTTAAATGATCAGAATGTCGAGCTGAGTCGATTTACCCATACATCTTCAACCAGCGTTGCCGAAAGCTTTTGCTGAAACATCGTCATTTTACCCTGAAAAATGGTAATTTCGGCCAAAAAAAACGGAAAATTTTTGGTTACTTTACTTTTTTAACAAAATAAAAAATATAAAAAAATTACATAAATTACATACAATAAATATGACAACACATTTCAAAACCAAAGGGAACCCATATTGCATATGGGTTAATAAAAGTGGATTTGTAATTGTTAACGACAATTTTAAATTACACTTTAAAACCCAACTGCTTTTAAATTGATCACTTCACTGGCTTGAAAGTGTAAGATTAGCATTTATTAACGGATAGATAATCTTGACTGAACAAATTCCCTCTGCTATTTTACAACGCTTTTATCAACTTGTAATGTTGTGTGTCCAGACAAGATTTTCAGCTATAATTACAGATTGTAATCAAAGTTCCTGTAAAAAAGTCTAGACATCAACCTCGACGGTAGGCCTTGCCGAAAGTAGTTAAATATTGCACCTAAAAATATGCACTATATACGCTACAGCGAAGATGGACGACAAGCCATTTTTTTAATGAAATTAATTGCAAACATTTTGCTTGCATATGCACAAAATAAACCACACAAATATTTTCGCAAATACCAACTTTTACAAATAGGAATCGAATAAGAATGTTATTTGTACTAATTTGTATTTGCGAAAATATTTTTGTGGTGTATTTTTCGCAATAGTCTTCTGTTCTCTTTTCGTTGCAAGCTAAATTATTTTAATATCTGTTGCAAAATTGTATACAGACAAGACTAAAAAGAAAAAAATAAATTAAATAAAAAAAAACTTTTTAATATATCAAGCTTTAATAAATGGACTAAACAATAGAAAAATGGCAAAAGCCATTATAAACAATTTATGGGATTGAAAATGAAAAGAGAGGGGCGCACTTAATAGACTTGAATTGATATGAAAAGTACTATATGTATGTATGTATGTGGGTATATGAATACAGACCGCTTAAAATCGATATCAAATTTGTACTATCGCTGTAGAAATTTTAGGTCTAGGTTATGTAGTTTGACTATTGGCAATTAAATCGAATGCTTTATATTGCATGCGCTCTACGTTTATCGTTTTCAATCCCATTCTGCTAAAATTTTAAAATAAAAAGTTATCAAAACAAATTCTATGGGACTGAGAAATATTATTTGTAAAAGCGTGGTATATTAAAAAGTTTTTTTATTCAATTTATTTCTGTCTCTTTCAAATCAGTGTCAACAGTGCAGATTAACAAGTTGGTTACAATTCTAGAAACAATTTAATATAACTAACAGCACGGTTGTAGAACAAAACTAGATAGATCCATGGTTGTACTTTGGATTAAGTTTTACTTTAAAAAACTTTTTACGTACATACTTACATACATATGTTATTAGGTGGAAAAACTAAAATAAAAATCCGTCATTACGGGGGGCAAAATTGTCAAAACGTCACTGAGCTAAAAAAACGTCAAAATGACGGCGAAGTCGTCAATTCGGCAACGCTGTCTTCAACGCGCATGCATACGAGTATCTACACATAGGGTTACCACTAAAAATCTTTCTTTCCTACCAAGAGGGGGTTCAAAAACCTATCAAAATGCCTCCTTTCCCACCATTTAAGAAAACGGCGTTTGACGGCAGTAAACAAAAGGATCACAATAATGGCTAGCATATACATAGCACACAAAAAAGTTGGTGTGTGCTTTAAACCAGACCTACGTACCGACATGTAATTCGACCCTCTCAACCCGAATCTGAGGTCCGTTTGACTTGTACGCCCTCAAAGTTTCGAATAAATTGCGAAAAACCGAAAAAATGGTAAAAAATTCGCATAGTTTATAGTTTTAATAAAGCGTTCGGAGTAAATGACGTGAAAAATCGCACGGTTAGGCTAGCCAAATGTCCGGGTCCAGGAGCCGCGGGCTGGAGGAAAAATCTACGCGCTGCGGGTTTGCCATAAATTGAATGGTCGCCGCGAATAAGGTTGTAAACGACAAGATTACAATTTTGCAGAAGTAAAAAGAAAATTTGTTTAATGACGCACATATATAAGCACATTTTATTTGGTTTTCTACTTTTTCGGTACCGGAGTATTAAAGTAACTTGCCCTTAAAGTATAAAATATTTATGTTCAATGTACATTGTACATTTATATCTTTAAAGTTAAAGAATATAGTTCTAAGAAAATAGTCGCTTACAACGTTATTCGCGGCAACCATTAAATTTCTTCGAGTTGCGGTTAAAACTTTGAGATCCTCCGATTTACTACAACCAATAAGTTTACTTTTTAATTTTCGTGTATATTAAAAAATAACATATTCTGTAAACACGTACATTTGTTATGTAGTATGTTGAATCTATTATCGATTCGCCACTGCATTTCAAAGAAAAATATCTGATTTATAAACCTGCGTTTACGTCCGTCAGTTCAATCCCTTGATATCCCTTTAGATAGCCAGTGGATACAACTTTTTGTTGCGTATACGGAGTTCGGAGAATCACCGAAGGTAATTGGTGAAATGGCCAGTAAGCAACGAGTTTTTTAAGGTATTTGGCAAAGTTGGACCCATCCAAGAAACATAATGAGGGTAAAACTGATATTGTCCTAATTTGGCAAGCCTACTCACAGTGCTAACAAAGTGAATCACTACAACAAACCAGAGATGTTTTCTGTTTTATAAGCAAAGAAATCTACCAAAATTTTAAGCGTCCTACCATCCTACCAACGAGAAAGAAACCTACCAAATTTGGTAGGAAAAGCTCAAAACGGCAACCTTGGTCTCAAGTAAATTGCAGACTTTCGCGAACTAGATATTTATTTCGCCATATCTAACTATGCTACTTGGTCACTATAACCAAATCTTGGTAATTATAACTAAACCTTCTTCTGGGTTTGTAGGACAAAAGGCACATCAATTTATTTTTAGCTTTTAGTTCACGTTTATGTTTCTAAAAAAAAATACTTGCAATTTATTTATGTACCCATGTATTTATTTTTTTTCTTCGTAGCAATGGTGTGATGGTATAATGCGAATGGCATACAGTTTAGCCCGGCTTAATGGGTCCGCCAATACATTTCTTCAAAAGGCACATACCAAACTTTGTCTGCAAGTTGACAAAAGTGGCAAAATACCTGTGAGGAAGTGAGTGAATATTTCTTTTAATTTTTGGTTAAAGATTAAATCTTTGGGTTTTCGTTTAGTCCTGGTTAATCGTTAAATATTTACCTTAATTTTTATCTTAACGTTTGTACTTACACACATCTATATACTAAAAGTATCTTACCTTTGTACATCTTTCGGTTACAGCATCATCAAAATTTTCGCACAAAACAAAGAGGATCGGAAGCGTGTTGAGAAAGCGTTAGATATGAGCGGGTTGCCTTCGGGGAAAATCGAAACGTTATCCCTGCCGAAGTTCCACTTTGAGGATTTTTTTAATTTGTACAAGAATCTTACCCAACGGAGTGAAGTGGAGAAAATATTTGATGGAATGTAAGTACTTTACAGCAGATTGGCGCTATGCGTAGAACTGCCAAATATGTCTGCCGCAAAACCGGAATGATTTGGTAAAAGTGTATTAAATAACGCACAGCCTAACGTGATTAAATAAACGGAAATTTGAATTCCATGCATCGAAATCTTTAAAATCATCGAGAACAAATATCTTCTTCCCCCTGAAATCGAATGTCGGGGCTCAGAGTTTGCCACAAAAATTCAGAGTTTGGGAAAGATTTTCAGTTTTTATACATTTGTTTAAAAATTGTGTGACTGTCTATACTACGTTGTTTGTTTTCGATATTGCTGTAATTTATAAAAAATGTGCACGATCTGTTTGTTTTATGTGACGCGAATTATGTTCTTGATTGTGTTTAGGCATGAGTAACACTGCACTGCGCGACGCAGCTGCCCTAAAACCGTAGCCGGAGTTGCCGCGTCAACACCAATATATGAAAAGCCCTAGCGCCATTAAAACGAAGAAACACATGAGACACACACACAATTCGGCTGAATTCTTTGAAAAATTACGTACTTTGTTTTTGCTTTGAGTGTGGAGAACCAGTTTTGCTGTTTTAGCCCTTTGGTGGCTAGATTTCGCCACCACATACTTTTTTTGGACGCATAAATTTAAAATTGCCCCTATCTCTTTTTTAGCCCTTTGGAAAATTTATTCATACTTGACATGAACAAGTTGTATATGCTTACTTTGATCTCATTTTTTTTCATTTGTGTATGAGATGAATTTTGAAACTAAGAAAGACTCTGATATACATATATATATGTATTTGTGGATATGTATTGTATGTTCCTTACGTTTTTATACAAACTAAAATAATGTGCTAGGGCCATTAACTTATGGGTAAGGCTTCCTCAAGTGGGCGCCGAATTTACCAACATTAATATTATTCAATGATATTCAGGCAGCCCCGAGTTTTGTAGTCGAACAGTACACTGTGTAATTTTTGTTGCAAAATTCCAAACAGTTTTTTTTTAATGAACAATTGAAAATTTGTGCAGTGTTTTGGAAATTCTTATTTTTCTTTGAAGTGTCCGACTGAAAAATTTTTTGGGTACAGATTTAAGTAACATTAAACCATGCATGAATGAATTTTTATTTGCCAGCGTGCGGGCCCGACTCGCGTGGCTGGATCGCGCACAATCCGTGTTGACTTCTTGCGCAAGAAAGAAATGCACGTTTCAATCGTTCCACTTTTATTTCTCATGCTTGAATTTCGCATGCCCGCGGTAGTCGGGTGCGCACGCTGGCAGATAAAAATTCATTCCGACCAAACTAAGTATATCGAAATGCACGCATTTTTTCATAGATAAATGCAGAAATGTTTATTACATAAGTAGTTGTTAAAAATTTTGGTCCACGAGGCGCAGAAATTGCTTAAAAATTCAATTTTTCATAAAAAATTGATTGAAAAGCAAAAAAAAATATCTTTGTTACGCAAATAATTTCATTGTATAGTTTAATCTTTCTTAAATCTGCACCCAAAAAATGTTTTCAGTCGGACACTTACTTTAAAAAAAAAAGAGTTTCCAAAACACTGCAAAAATTTTCAATTGTTGATTAAAAAAAACTATTTGGAATTACACAATGTACTGTTCGACTACAAAACTCGGCGCTGCCTGAATATTATTGAAAAATTTTAATGTTGGTAAATTCGGTGCCCACTTGAGGAAGCCTTATCCTTATCTATTAACGATTTAACTATAGGTACTTTAAAATAGATAAGTTTACAAACCCAAATATGCTTAATGTGATAAAGGGCCCATGGATGATACTAGCATGCTGGCGACATCAACTGTTGGTGCCAGCCGATTGACCGTGTGTGTTCTTGTGGTGTGATTGTACCGGCTGCTGGTGCGACATCAAAAACGATTTGAAAATTGAATGGTTGTACCAGCCTACTAGTATCGTGAATGGCGAAGTTAGCTCATTTTTTCAGTTTTTTACCGGAAATTTCTTGCTCTATATGAGTCAAAGCCATGTTTGTGGAAAAATTATGAAATTTCAGCTGTAATCATTTCCGGTTTTTTTTTTACCTCATTTGCAAACACAGTAAAAAATTTAGTTTAATTTTAATACCGTTTTGGTGTTTATATATAACAATGACAGAAAGTATTAGATTAAAACCATACTGGTTTCAGCAAAGAGAGAGAGAAAAGATTGAGAGAGTATGTATTCTTGCTATTAAATTAATAATATATTTGGAATTAATTCAAATAAGATTTTGTTCTTAGAAACAAGCCATGGGTCTAAATTCTATAGTTTTTGGGGGTTTAAAATAAAACTGAAAAGGTTTTGGATCTATTTGGAAATTGGAATAGATTTGATACTTTCTGGAATTAAATCAAAGCCAAAATTGGACTAGATTTAGTACATCGTTCGTATTAAAAGTAACTTAAATAGTTTTGGATCTATCTGATAATTCGAATAGATTTAATAGTTTATGGAATTAAATCTAAACCAAAGTTGAATTAGATTTAGTATATTGTTGGTATTGAAAGCAAACCCTTGAAGGTTTTTTTCAATGCGTACAGTGCTCAACAAATTTACAACCCTGTTAATAAAACATACCACATTTCACGTAAAATTAAGGAGAAATTCAACCGAAATTCTTACAAGATTGGATGTTTTTTAAAATGAGGATTGCCTGTTGGAACATTGTGGAAAACTACGTGCTGAAAATAAAAATCAAAATAAACTTTTTGTTAAGAAATACATTTTATTTGAAATAACATAAAATTATATTAGAGAAACAATAGCTTAATTTAATAATAGATTTAAATGTATGAAATACTTTTTTACATGTTTTAGAGGAAACACACCTTAACTTTAAACCATTTTTTAAATGAAATACAAAATTTGTTACGGTTTCAAATTCCCTGCCACATAAAAAGCAAAATTTTGCCATTTTTTATTAATATGAAACTTACTTCATTAATTCCTTAAACTTATTCTCTAATAAGTTTAGTACTTGGCTTCTTATTATCGTTGATTTTGTAAATAAATTTGGCAAACAACCCCAAGAAGTTCGCCAAAGTTACATAAAATTTTATATTAAATACATAAAATGCTTTAAAATACAGGTCGAGTACTTGGCTGAATTTATAATTTTTGGGAACATTTACCTTCTTGCCATCAATGGTTATAAAATATTGACAAATTGTGGCTCTGTCTTGTCCAACTGCAACGATGGTGGGCTGACTAGTCGCAGCTGCATATTCTGCGATAGGGGTGTTGAGCTACAAAGAAAAAATTTTGTTAAGTATTTGTGTTGATTGAGAACGATAATTTTATAGTAAATTATGCTACGTTCAAATTGACGACTTAAACATGTTAAATGAGCTAGAACCAGTTAAATGAACAAATGTGTTCGTAAACAAGTTAAATCGCATGCAATTGTTGTTGGAAACTGAACCAGTTAAATCGTTTAACTCGTTTGAAAACCAGTTCAGCGCAGAGTTGTATCAGAAAGCTTTCTGCTTCAGCCAATCAGAAAAAGCCAAGAGCTTTCATTTGACACGCCAATGTTCAAAAAATGTTTATTCTCAAAAATATTAAAAATTAAAAACTATCAAAAAATATCAAATTTTATGCATGTCTGCCCGCCAAAAAAGAGGCCAAGGCGGTACTTAGTTATTGTCCATCAGGTCTCATCGTAGGCAGAGATAAATGGTGCGTACGAACTAAACATTTTGAAGTCTCTAAGTAAACCATATGCGTTAATATCATGAAGCAGACATACGCACAAATCAAATTTAAACACAAAAAATTGATTTTGAATATTTTTTTTTTAATTTTTATTTGAAATTAAAGAACCGTCAAAGTTAACTCCATATATTCAATGTGGACGATTGTGTGTTACAAAAAGCTCTTTTTCATTTAACAAGTTAAATGGGGCCAATTTGAACGTAATATTACGTTTTCAAAGGAAAGAAAACTATCGACAGATTTTTGAAAGTTTACTTTCTTTTGGACGCGTCCACTGGTAATAGATGGCAGCAGCTTTAAAATCATCAAATAAGGCCCAATCAGTTCAGTTTCCCAGAATTGCATCAATTAAAATTTTCTCCGCACAGCTTTCATATTTTTCCCAGTTTTCTAAAAGTCTGTTCGAAATCGCCTCTACATACCAACGATTAAAATCAAAATCAATCTACAAAAAAATTTTCTTTTCTTTTTTTGTATATACGTAGTATTATTGTGTATACATTACCAATGACGAATCATGTCTTGCTTTTAACGTTTTCCTTAATTTCTGTTGCACCAGTTGCAGTTCGTCTGCAACAATGAAGTTTTGAAAAAAGTGGAGATCTGCAGAAATTATTGATTCAGCTAGTGCAATTTTTTCCCCACGCTTCGGTTGATTTCCACAATGGTGGCGTAAAAACTTAGTAGACTCGCGCACTAACGAGCGGCGGGAATTATCACTTAAAGTGCTGTTTTTTTGGTATTCCTCAAGAAAGCAAGAGAAATCTCCACTTTTTATGTAAGTTAAACTAACCGAAGTTAAGTTTATTAAAAAAAATTATTTTTTACGGCAGCAAGCCGTGTTGTTTATTCAAACTCAAATTAGGACCGATTACAATTTTTGTTTTCACTTAAGTCTATACCTCAAGAATCTTCATTGTCACATTGAATTAACAGGTGCGATGCCTTGGCCTTGGTTGAGGGTGTCGGGTGTCCAGACTTGTAGTCAGCAATTTCGCGGATGCGCGTGCAAGAATTGGAATGCAGGTGCACTGCATTAGCGTGAGAAAGAATTTTTGGAGTTTTGAATTCTAGCTACTTTAACTCCTCCCTCCCTAAAAACGCTTGTCCTCGAGCGTCTGAAAAACCTGGAAGGTGTAGGGACCTGGATGGTGGCTTTTTGAAGCTGGCTATCATGAGCACCGGATTCAGCTGGTTTTTCAACTTTGCTTGCTGATTTAGTTTTTTATATTTGCAGTGACTGGATTTCTACGGTCTTATTTATATGTAG